TCAAAGAAACGACTCGTAGTCGAGTACAATTGAAGGGCCTTTGAGCCACCAAGTGGGCTACCCTATTACTACGCCGACCTAAAAATTGTACATTAAAACCCGGATGTTCCTCTAAACACTGCACAACCTCCACTAACAAGGCGCCAATCCAACTGTCTCTGGTGTCCAGTTGATTGATTTTATCAATAACCATCTTAGTGTCTCCTTCTAATCACATCTCCGTAAACCTCGACACCAGACACCAGGTAATCGCCTCCCGGAGGGTGAGCATTTCAGAAACCAAAGGATCATCAACCCCCCCAAACTGAACCCCTGTAGCCGAGAGAACCACCCTATCTTGACTCATGATAACCATCCCTCCTGCCGAATGGGACACATGCTGGGTAGCCCCATCCCACCTACATATAAAATGACTAGGCTGGAAAGCCCCTATAGGTTGTTCCAGAGAGATGGGCAATCACTGAGCCCTATCAACAGACAATTTTACCTACTCATTATACTGCTGATGGAACTGGCGCATTAATGCTTGGAACCCAAACTGTTTTCCTTCAAAGACAACCCAGTTGCGAGAACTCCAGATCCTCCAAAGGACCGCGGTAACCGCCATCAGCATAGGAGGTTGATGTATGAGCGTCATCAACTTTTTCAGAAACAAAGGGAAAGTGCGGCGAGAAAGCCCTTGTCCAAGACTTTCCAATCCCGCATAATCCCACAAGGCTCGAGCCACTGGACACTCAAGAAAATAAATGTTCCATTGTCTCTGACTCCGCCCAACACACTGGACACCTGGGATGAACCTGGACAACCTTTTCAATAAGAACCTCCGTCGTTGGAAGGAGTCGATTGAAAAGTTTCCATAGTAAAACTTTCAGTTTGGGGGGAATATTAGCATCCATAATTTAATCTAGTTGGTTCTATCCATCCAGCTAACCATGGCTCGCCATTTGCAAACTTGTCTATCCCAATCAACTGCCAAGTGGTATGCAGACTTCACAGTAAAGAACCCATCCGACATACCATGCCAAACTAGACGATCATGAACATCACGGCGAGGAAGAGTTATTTCCTTGATAGCAGGACAGGTATCCGGGTCAAACCACTTGCTTAGTTTTGAGTCACTCCATCGACCTTCATTTTGGCAAATAACCTCCGCTACCTTAAGAACCCCATTACCTGGCAAGATCTGGGGGTCATGGTAGGGGTAAAGGGATGAATACGAGGCACCCAGCTAGTATGAAGTAAAGGAGCCGATTTCCCATTCCCAATTTGCCATCTCAGACGCTGCATCAGCAGTTGCCGGCCAAACATGATGCTTTGCCAGCCCCAAGATGGGTGCGAGCGAGCAGTGGCCTCGAGGAAGCTCCCCGACGAGAAATATTTACCTTTGTATACCTGAGCAAGAAGAGAGGTTGGCTCGCTAAGGATACGCCAGCCAATCTTAACTAACAGCACCTGATCAAAATGTTCAAACCGGCGAAACCACATCCCTCCTTCGTGCTTACTTCTGCACATATTCCTCTAAGACATCCAGTGGATCTTCGGTTGGCCATTCTCTACACCCCACCAAAACCTGTCAACGTGTTCATCTAAGAGACGACAGAGCGAGAGGGGTAGCTTGAAGCAAGACATAACATGTAACGGCAAAGCTAAGGCGACTGATTTAATCAAATTCTCCTTTGCTGCCCAGGACAGAGTCTTCCACTTCCAACCCTATAGCCGAGCCAACAACTTCTCCTCCAAATATCTAAACATCGCCATTTTTGACTGAGCTATCAGGGTAGGCAAACCCAGATACTTATCCTGGACCCCCACAGCCCCTACCCCGAGAATTTATGCTAGGAATTCCTGGTCTGGCAGGGTAATATTCTTACTAAAGCATACTGCCGACTTTGCCAGATTAATCCATTGGCCACTAAGGTTCTCATAATTATTTAAAACCGTGATCAAGTTCTCACATTCCTGTAGAGAGCCTCTGAGGAATAAATCAGAATCAGCTGCAAAAAAACATATGCGAGATCCGTGGAGCTCGAGGAACTACTTTCACCCCTTGCAATTTTCCTTCTGCAATGGCTTGCCGTAGGAGAGCTGCAAATCCCTCTGTGCAAATCACAAACAGTAGGGGAGACAGTGGATACCCCTGCCAGAGTCCTCGCGAGGGGTAAAAGAAACCCTTAAGCGTACCATTCATAAGGACCGAGAACGATGCCGATTTGAGACATTCATGCACCCAGTTCGTCTAGGTCGAGTTAAAGCCCAACTTGTTCAATGCCGCAAGCAGAAAGGGCCATTCAACTCTATCATAGGATTTTTCCATGTCAACCTTAAGAGCAATGAAACCTTTCTTACCACGGGTTTTGATTTGCAAGTAGTGCATCAACTCATGCCCAAGAAAAACATTCTCCACAATCTGACGTTCCCGAATGAAGGCATTTTGGCCTTCCGAGATGATCTGCGGCAAAAAGTAGGCCAGCCGTTCAGCCATAATTTTAGTTATGACTTTATAGACAAACTGGCATAAATTAATGAGTCTAATTTGTGCCATAGTCTCCACATTCTCCACTTCCGGAATCAATGTCAGCCAAGTATGATTAAAGCTACAAAGCATCCTACTTGTGGAAAAGAACGAGCAGACGGCTGCAATCACCAAGTCACCGACAATATCCCAGAAGGCTTTAAAAAATTTCCCCGTGAATCCATCAAACCCAGGGGCTTGTTTGGATCCCATTGAAAAGACTGTTCTTCTCTCTTCACTAGGAAGGACCGGTGTTGTCAGATGCACATTCATTTCTGCCGTCACCCGACAGTCAATTGGAAGCTCCACTACCCGAGCAGTCATATTTGAGATATGAGATTCGGAAGTGAAGAGGTGTTGATAAAAATCGGAGGCAATGTTAGCCTTTCCTCCTTCTTCTGTAATCCATTCCCCGTCATCATTACGGAGGCCCAAAATAAAGTTCCTTTTACGTCTAATTTTGGTTACCGTATGAAAATACGAGGAATTCTTATCCCCTTTCTTTAGCCAACGAACCCTTGATTTTTGCTGCCAATAGATTTCCTCGGCCTCCCACTGCCTATTTAATTCACACTCCAAATTGTGAATCACATCACAATCAATGGGATGAACTAATTTTATCCGATCAATTTCCGCCCGGAGAGTCCAAATATTACGCAGGGAATTCGTAGTACCCGCCCTACTCTAGTCATAAAGAAAATGACAAAGTTTCTTAAGTCGTTCCCAAAGTTGAAACATTGGGGGTACCCTGAACATCCTCCTGCCAAACGTAAGTCACCATTGCTTTGACCTCCGGATTATCAGCCCAACGAGCATCAAACCAGAAGAGTGGGCGACTATTACGGGTATAGGGCTTGTCTGAGAGGAGGAGAACCCAATCATCTGATCCCTGATCCGTGAAATATTTCACCAAGGTGTCCGGGTATCGATCAATCCAGGTCTTGGAGCACAACGCTCTGTCCAACCGCTCACGAATACAAGCTGCACCCATTCGTTTGTTTGTCCATGTGAATGGATCTCTCTGATACCCTGAGTCGTGAAGACCGAGGGTGTGAATAAAATCACGCAGGATAAGGGCCTGAGCAGCATTCCATAGATTTCCCCCATCTTTCTCACTCTCATGAAGATTGAAGAGTAGTGTTAAAATCGCCAATGATCACATAGGGGAGTTGGAAGCCATCCACAATGGCACGGAGATGAGCCAATTGGGTAGATTGTCATAAAATGAATTGATTAAAACCTTAATGGCATAAAACTCCTCCAAGATTTGGACAATTACAAAATGATCACCCCTTATGATGTGACTCTAAGTAATAGTAACCTTGTGATGATGTAACTTTCTATAGGATCACTAAGCCCTAAGAATTGTCAACCAGGTCAATTATCCACCAGACGACACTTTGGTTGAACCTAGGGCTCACTATTTGGTCCAGGTTTTTTGGTTTTACCCAAAACTGGACCGTATAACCCGGACCGGATAGTAAACAATCAAATCCAATCTTTGGGCATATATTTGAGGTAATCGGATCGAAAACTGGATAAAGACCGGATAAGAGAGCTCAACATCCAAAAATTAAGGGTAATTTGCATAAACGATCACAAACCTTTGCACTTAGTACAAAACTTAACCAACTCCTCACCCTTTCAGGCCTTAGACCACTAAAATCCCCACAAGCTCAATATAAAATCAAGACCGAGTTCGGACCGGACCGGGTCAAGACCGGACTGTATCCAATCAAATCTTTGGTCCTTATATTTTCAAAAAGACCGGACTGGACCGGATCAATTTGGACCAATTTAACCGGACCGAACCATATAGACACCCCTAATTGAACCAACACATTTTTTTGGAAAACCTAAATAACTTAATCAATCGTTACTAATTTCATTTGATCAACAGTGCTATATGATAACACTTCATACAAATTAGAGAAAGAATCCTCGTCGACTGCATCACTCAAACTCACTTGAGATGAGGACAAGAACCAAAATTGCCATCAATCGATCGATCGACCACCACATCAAGAAAAATATAAGGGACAACCATACAAATCAACAGGAAAAAAACCTGACTTTTACTAGAAAAAAATGTAGCAACAATCTTAACTTGGACTCCACCTCATTTCACGTGGTTTGCACCCCAATCCAATCTCTTCCCAAATAAAAGAGAAAACGCTAAAAAAACTGCCAATTTCCGCGACCCCTTTCCAGTCGAGTAAAAATGAAGAAGAAGTTAAAAACAAAAACCTTCCACGAAATTTCCAGCCTTTCTCCCCCTTCTCGTTCATCCACTGTCAGGTTTCCTTCCTTTTATTTACCGTCAATGAACTCCCGGTGTCATGCATAATCTGGAGAGTGTAGGAAATTTCGCACAAAGGTTTTCCGGTGATCGCGCGAGTAACGCCACCGCTCCTCTGTCTCTCTCTGCTTTACACTTTCTATATATTAAAACCCTTTTCAACCGGCACAACATATCACATAAGTCCTACCTACTTCCAAATTTTTTTTTTCTTCTTCTTCCCACCACTTCGTCAAACCCCTACTTTGCTGAACTTTGCACGCCAAGTGGAAAGCTAAAAAGAAAAATGACAAGCGGCGCTGGTGACAGGGAGGTCTCCATCGTCGTCGTCGCTCCGGAGACAGAAATCAGGACCCAGGAGGATACCGGCGCCAGCTGGAATACGGTTGTTAGTAATGGGAAAGGGGCGAGGAAATCGCCGCCCGACTGTACTGGGTTCCAAAAGGGGACGGCTTTTTGGAAGAATCTTCAGCTAGTGGTTCTTGAGACCAAGCTGTCCGTGCTCTTCCCTGCCATTCCTCTCGCCATTGTTGCCGATTTCTACAGCTTCGGAAAGGTGTGTAGGTCTCACGCAATGATTAATTTAGCCCATGTTAATCAAAATTACTTGCGAATCAAATCTTCTTCGGGTGGAAAAGTTGGTGACACGTGTAATGGTTGCTTGTGTTGTGCGCGCCACGCAGCCATGGATATTCGGTTTTAGCTTGCTTGGACTGGCCCCACTCGCTGAACGTGTCAGCTTCCTCACTGAGTGAGTAGACTCACTGCTGCTGCTGCGGCGGTTTTCCATTTCAATGAAGCTTCGTTTCCTTTTTGGCCTTCTTCCTTCTCCAACCCTGACCATTGATTTTTCCCTTCTGTCCTTTTGTCTGCTTCGGTTTCAATGCATTGCAATGAATGTCCCTACAGGCAAATTGCTTGCTTCACTGGTCCTACGGGTAAGCAGAAACTGGAGATTTCTTGGATTTGATAAAAACCCACCATTTTCAGATGTCTGAAAATGATTGGATCGTCTTTCTTTGGGCAGTTGGAGGGCTCTTGAATGCAACTTGTGGGAATGCAACAGAGCTAATAATAGCAATGTTTGCTCTAAGACAGAGGAAAATCCATGTCCTCAAGTACTCTTTGTTCGGCTCCATTCTCTCTAATCTCCTTCTGGTCCTTGGGAGCTCTCTTCTCTGTGGAGGTTTGGCTAACATAAAAAAGGAGCAGCGATATGACAGAGTAAAGTCCAGCAAACCCTTTTCTGTTTCGATTTTGATTAGTCCCAAACTCTTGCAGTAATGGCTTCTTTTTGTAATGTGATAATATGTAAGCAGAAGCAGGCTGATGTGAACTCACTACTTCTGTTACTGGGCTTGTTGTGCAACCTACTGCCGTTGCTGCTCAAGCAGGTAATGGGGAAAGGTCCAGCCACTGCCTACTCTACTCTTCAGCTGTCAAGAGTGAGCAGCATTTTTATGCTTCTGGCATATGCTGGATACATAATCTTCCAGCTTAAAACCCACAGGCATTTCTTTGAATCCCAACAGGTGATTTGATTGGTTAATGGTTTTGGTTAATCGATACTTTGTTGTGAAGAACTTTTACCCATCTTCCCGTTAACTATTACTCGATGAAATGACAGGAAGATGGAGAAGTAGAGGAGGGAGAAGAAGAAGGGGCAGTGATCGGATTCTGGAGTGCCTTCATTTGGTTGGTTGGCATGACAGTTTTCATAGCCTTGTTATCTGAATATGTTGTGGGCACAATTGAGGTACATGATAAGTGGTAACTTGCTCCTTCTACTTGTTAAAAGGGAAATCTTGTTACCATGTTCTCCATGTGCCATCTTGTTGTTGTTGTTATGACTAGTGTGCTTCGGATACGTGGGGGATTTCGGTGGGATTCATCAGCATAATTTTGCTGCCCATTGTTGGCAATGCAGCGGAACATGCTGGATCTATCATCTTTGCTTTCAAGAACAAGCTGGTAAAACCCACAACTATTAGCAGGCTATTGTTCCCGACATATTAACTTGACTTCTCGGCTATCTTGACTTGGCTATCCATATATGCATATGCAGGACATTTCCCTGGGAGTTTCTCTTGGTTCTGCAACTCAAATTTCAATGTTTGTGGTAAGAAAGCAAAAACTGAATGTGCAAAGAAAACTAGTAAGAGAGACACCCTCACCAATCTTTTTTTTTTTTTTTTTTGTTAGGTACCCTTTTGTGTTCTAGTAGCCTGGATTATGCACGTCAATATGGACCTGGATTTCAGCCTACTTGAAACTGGTTGTCTAGCTTTCACGATTGTCATCACTGCCTTCACTTTGCAGGTGAAAGAACCACCATCCGGAATTTTTCATTGCTGATCAATCATTTTGTTGGGATGGCAGTTAACAAGTCAATTGCTTATGCAGGATGGGACCTCTCACTACTTGAAAGGGGCAGTTCTTGTTCTGTGCTACGTTATTATAGCAGCATGTTTTTTTGTTTATAAAGTTCCACAAGGTAACTCTTACGGACCTAATCCTGACTCCTGAGGTGTACCTTCAATGCCGTTTCCATCTCGTTCCCTAATGTTTGATATTGTTTGAACTCTTGAACTGCTAGATGAATTGGATTCATACCCAGGGATCAAACCCTTCACCGGAGTGTTTGCCTCCTAGCTGCATTTCGAGAACTTCACTGGTTCGAAAATTTCCATCAGCCTGTCATGGCAACAAATGAGGCGACAAGAGGCAACACAGAGGAATTTCATGTGCATCAGGGATCCGGCAACATGATACTGATTACTGATAGCTTGAATTAGTATTGTATAAGCATCAGCAGTTTAGCAATTAAGAACTGTTGACGAAACTTTTGATGGAACTGTGTTGTACATAGCTCTGTCTCCTTCCAAGTCTGTTGTAGTAGCTGTTGGGAGAGGAAGCTTGCCATATGTGAGTATTTGCGCAGGTGTTGTGTGACCATAGCCGCTTAAGTCTTCAGCCCCTTGAAAACCTTGAAGTGTTTTTAAAAGTAATCCATTCAGCATTCTCCAACGAAACGCTGACATTGTGGTTGCCGTCTCCAATTGGATTGTACATGTCGAACTTCATGACTGAGTTTTCTTGCATTTCACATTGATTCAACTTTAGCTTAACTTAGAGGGAGTCAGTTTCCTTTCTGGTCTTTTTACATTTCTGCAATTTTGCTGCTGGCGTGCTTGCTTAGTTCTTGGCATTGAAGTTTGAACTGCAAGGGAAGTCTGTGTAAGAGAGAACGTGGAAGTTTGAATTAGTTGGGCGATTTTATTTGCAGTGCAAGTTGAGCTTGGTTGACATTAATTAAGATATTAAAAGCCTTGGGTTGGGTGGGTTTAAAGGAACCGTGATTCCCTTCTTTTATTTGTGGGCTTTCTATTGGCATGGTTAAATTTAAAGTTTAAACACGCGCACAAACGTTAGGAGTTACGGTGATAATTGTATAAGAGTTAACACCGTCCTAACCAATGAGCAATACAAGACTTTATTGGTATTTAGAAAATTAAATTTAATAAATAAACTAAATTTTAATTATTTCTCTCCTCCTTCACAAAGAACTTTAACGTGAAAAAATACTAGGGAAAAGCCAAAGGTAATATAGCCTAGCGGTGAAATCGTTGGTCTGGTTGGCTCAGGATATGAGAGGTCCTGAGTTCGATCCCCAGCGGTGCCGTTTGTGTGTTCCCGGAGGCATGCCTGAGTGCTGGGGACGAAGTCTCCCGATGTTGTGTCTTGTACAGGTGCTGCCCAGGTTTAGTAGATCACGCTGCCACAAAGTGGCATGTGGGGTTGAGGTTCCTAGGTTATAAAAAAATAGTAGGGAAAAAACTACTACTAGTTTGAATTAGTAGTGATGTAGCTTAGATGTTGTATTGATTTTATAATATTATGTAGTGATTTCGTTGTTTTTAGTAGCGTTTTTTAAATAGAAGAATTTGATGATATTTGTAAAGAATAATACTGTAAATGAAAAAAGTATTACAAAGAACAAATATTATGATAGAAGAGAATAGGATTGGGAATTGAGAAAGGAAATTAGGGATTGAGAAAGAATTGGGGAAGAACAGAGAAAAGAGGGATTAGGAATTTTGATATTCTTATTGCTTAATCTCAAATGTACGTACTGAACCCTCTTTTATGAGTTTCAGAAAACTAACAAGAAATAACAAAACTGCCACTCAACCCGGACCACATGGCCGAACCCAACCCACCCTACCCGTCGAGCGGGTCTCTATCATTCCCTTCCCCATAAGAAACGATATTGCCCTCAAGGTCGAATGTCGGGAATCGCTGCCGGAGCGTGGTCGTCTCCTCCCAAGTGGCATCCTCTCTCTCCATGTGCTTCCACAGACACAAGCTCTCCTCAGTCATGCGTCCGCCTTTCTTCACCCACTTGGTATCCACTTGATATTCTTATTGCTTAATCTCAAATGTACGTACTGAACCCTCTTTTATGAGTTTCAGAAAACTAACAAGAAATAACAAAACTGCCACTCAACCCGGACCACATGGCCGAACCCAACCCACCCTACCCGTCGAGCGGGTCTCTATCATTCCCTTCCCCATAAGAAACGACATTGCCCTCAAGGTCGAATGTCGGGAATCGCCGCCGGAGCGTGGTCGTCTCCTCCCAAGTGGCATCCTCTCTCTCCATGTGCTTCCACAGACACAAGCTCTCCTCAGTCATGCGCCCGCCTTTCTTCACCCACTTGGTATCCAAGACCTGCAAGGGGGTTAGCTCAAGGTCCCCATCCGCGGAAACTGGCGGGGCGGTTGTCTCCACCCGACCCGCCGCTCCTCTGTACCGCTTCAGTTATGACACGTGAAAAGTGGGATGGATGCGCGCATCAGCGGGCAACTGCAGACGATATGCTAGCGGGTTAATCTTCTGCAGTATCTCATAGGGCCCAAAGTAACGAGCTGCCAACTTCTGGTAGGTACGGCGAAAGATGGAAGCCTGCCTGTAAGGGTGAAGACGAAGCAGAACCCAGTCCCCTACCTCGAACTCCTCCTCGCGACGTCCTGCATCGGCCATCTGCTTCATCTTATTGTTGGCAGCCGCCAGGTTGGCCTTGAGCTGCTCCAAGGCCTCATCTCGTGTCTCGAGCCAACGATCCACCGCATCCACCTGGCTGGTGCCACGGTGGTAGCGGACCAAGGAAGGTGGTGGCCTCCCATAAAGAGCCTCAAACGGCATAGTCTGGATCGCCCTATGATAAGTAGAGTTATACCATAGCTCGGTCCATGGCAACAGAGCCAACCACCGCCTCGACTGCTGATGGGCAAAGCAGGGCAGGTACTGCTCTAGGTAACGGTTAACCACCTCCGTCTGGCCGTCTATCTGTGGATGATAGGCGGAACTCATCCGCAGCGTGGTCTGGGCCATAGCGAACACCTTCTGCAAGAAACGACTCAAGAAAATGGAGTCCTGTCACTGACAATAGACCTCGGAAACCGTGATGGCGCACGACCCCTGTAACAAACTGTTCTGCCACTGACCGGGCTGTATACGGGTGCGCCAGGGCCATGAAATGGGCATATTTCGTCAGTCGATCAACGACGACGAACAGGACCGTCTTTCCTACGGAAGAGGGGAGGTCGACGATGAAGTTCATACTGACGTCCTCCCACACCCGCTCGGGTACCGAGAAAGGCTTCAAGAGACCTGCCGGTCGGAGATGAGATACCTTGACCCGCTGACAAGTATTGCATGACGCGACATAGTCCTTCACGTCCTGACCCATCTAGGGCCAATAAAACTGTGCCCGAATATGCCACAGCGTCCGCTCGACCCCCGAATGCCCTCCAAATGGAGAGTCATGATACTCCTGCAGCACGGCCATCACTAGTGAAGATCCCCACGGAAGGACAAGGCGCCCATGGAAGAATACCAACTCTTGCCAAAAGAAATATGGCCCGAAGCTTCACTGACAGCTGTATCCCGACAACACTGCAGGTAGGCATCGGTCTCCGTAAGAGCTCGTAGCGCGTCCCAGAACTGGGGCACAGGCCCCGTTACTGCTGCCAATATCTCGCCCCCAGGACGCCGCGAGAGCCCATCTGCCACGACGTTGGAGGGACCCGGCCGGTAATAAATCTCATAATAATACCCAAGAAGCTTCGAGACCCACTTGTGCTGATCGGGAGTGGAAACTCGTTGCTCCAAGAGGTTCCTCAGACTCTGATGGTCGGTGTAAATGTGGAACTTCTGACCCAGAAGGTATGGTCGCCACATCTGCACTGCTGTGATGATAGTCTGCATCTCTTTCTGGTAAGTAGACCAAGCTTCTTGGATGGAGCCAAGGTCTTACTCATATAGGCCACTGGGTGTAAATGTGGAACTTCTGACCAAGCAGGCCATGACCACCACCCCAATACCTCGGCCAGAAGCATCCTCCTCAATCATGAAAGTCCTAGAGAAATCCGGCATGGCTAGGGTCGGGGTGGTGGTTAGGGCCTGACTTCAGCTGCTGAAATGTCGTATCTGCTTCCGCTGTCCATGCAAACCCGCCCTTCTTTAATAGGTTAGTCAGGGGCCGGGCGATCATACTGTATCCTTGCACAAACTTCCGGTAGTAACTGGTCAAGCGCAGGAACCCTCTCAGCTCCGTGACAGTGGCCGGGGTTGGCCACTCGATCATAGCCTGAATCTTCGACTGATCCACCTGGACCCCCTGTGGTGTGACAATGTGGCCCATTTACTCAACCTTCTCCACCCCAAATGCACACTTCGAAGCTTTGAGGTAGTACTGATGGCGTCGTAGAATCTCAAACACTGCCTGCAAATGCTGTAAATGCATCTCCCAAGATGGACTGTAGACTAGAATATCATCAAAAAATACCAGCACATACCCTCTCAATAGAGGTCGGAAAATGTCATTCATCGCTGCCTGAAAGGTCGAGGGAGCATTGCACAAGCCGAATGGCATGATCAAGTACTCATAATGGCCATTATGAGTCCGGAAAGCGGTCTTGTGCGCATCTTCCTCCTGCATCCGAATCTGGTGGTACCTTGCTCGCAGATCGAGCTTAGTGAAGTAGGCCGATCTGTGGAGCTCGTCGAGCATATCGTCCACCGTCGGGATTGGAAATCGATCCTTCACCATCGCGGCATTGAGTGTCCTGTAATCCGTGTAGAATCGCCAAGTCCCATCCTTCTTCTTAACCAACAGCACCGGTGAGGAAAAGGGACTGGTGCACGGCCGAATCAGGCTGGTCGCGAGCATCTCCTCCACCTGTCGTTCGATCTCCTCCTTATGGGAGTGGCCGTATTGGTAAGGACGGACGTTCACAGCCTCCGCCCCTCCCTTGAGCTGAATGCGGTGGTCAACCTGTCGGTTGGGAGGAAATGTGGTCGGTGTCTGAAATATCTCCGAAAATCCTGCCAGCACCCGTTGGAGGTCGGGAGCCAGCTCTTCGTCCTCAATCGGCACCACGGGCTAGCATAGGACCGTCCGCTTTGCCTCCTCCTCAATGGCACACTCGTGGAGAGAAACCGGGCCTAGGGCCGTGGTAAGCCCCTGCAAACACCACTCCTTATCTCGCCATTTGAATCGCATGGTTAACCTACGCCAATCGGTGGTGACTGGTCACAATCCCCGAAGCCATGGAACACCCAAAATCATGTCAAACCCGCGAATGGGCAGCACAAACACATCCGCGGTGACGGGCAGCCCTTGAATCTCGAACGGAAGCTCCCGATAGACGGCCTTGCACTGCATAGGTGCCCCATTCGCCACTCGGATCACAATTGGATCCACCGAACTTGGCGCTTGCGGAAGAAGTTTGGTTAGCTCCTCGATAATAAAGTTTAGGGTGGCGCCACTATCCACCAGAGTTAAGGTCATGGTGCCGGCAACTTGTGCCCGGAAACAAAGAGTCCCCGGTGTCGGCAGCCCGGTCACTGAATGGAGAGAGAGAGACGGAGTCGCCCCTTCCTTTGTCGATCCCACGACCGCAGCTCTCCCCTACGCCGCACTCGGTGATGCTCGCCGTCGATCCGCCCCCACGGCCTGTGGCGTCTCCTCGTCCGCGCCGCCACTGCAACCGCGCCGCCACTGTCGCCCTCCGTCAACGACCGCCTCGACCCGCCGTCTGCCGCCATGGCCGAACCCAACCCGCCCTACCCACCGAGCAGGTCTCTATCATATTACTACTAATATACAAAACACTACTAATACTTTACAAATATCATTGCTCAACTATTGATTACAATAACAATAACTACTAATATATATGGAAAATAATACACCACAATCACTACTTACCCAAAATCACTACTAATCAAATAATAATATAGATCTGGAAAAATTCTCGTTCTTCCTCCACGCATGCTATCCACGAG